CAGAGCATGCACTCTAAGATCAGCTTTCATTTCCCTACCTTATAATATTTCACCATCAGGCTAAGAGGAGTATCAGGGATTAATTGCCTAATATAAGCACTCCATTCCTTACTGGAGCAGGAACATATAGATCCTGAGCCCTTATGCACAGAATAATAAGGAAGAATCAGCCAGGAAGCTACAGTTCTGTGTAACTGCAACAAGCTGCACTTGTTAGTTTTATTAAGAAAGAAGTTTGGGGGTGCTGTGTTATAGCTTGAGCAGTACTAAAATGAAAACACTGCTGGTCTTGCAGTTGAATCAAGGCTCAGCTGGTTCTTCATATAACAGCAGCAAGACAAGCCACCGACTACATCAGTAACATAACTTTAAGTGTTGTGTGCCCTCTTTTTCAAGTTTATGTGTTAAGTCCAAAAAATATTGGACAGCTGTAATTCCAATTCTTACACTGTGCTAATGTAGTTACGCTGAAGAAAGCGGAATTTTAAGATATATTAATTAACACTGTCTATAGATGTTGTTTCTAACTTTATTGGCCACTCAAAGCATTAAGAAGGTGTCTTTATTATATTAAAAGCTAGTATTCCTTCCTATGAAAATTTGTTTTAATAAGAATGTTGTTTGGAAATTCTTCCCTACTCCCTGCCCTCTCCTACACTTATTAAACAGCATTCGTATCACTCTGTGAGTGAGAGGACTGGCTCCACAGTAGTTTGCACTTCTTCAGAAGTGAACCAGATTTTCAAGTTGCTGCACAATGGCTATCAACATGCTTCCAGATATTTTTATTACAGTATTTGGGGCCAAATTACATACTGGCATAAAAATGGGTATGACTTCTCTGATTAATTGGGGCCATGACTGATGTCAGGAACAGAGCTGACCTCCTGCAACATTAACAGAAATTATGAAATTATCTCTCTAACAGTTTCCTCAGGTAGGATTCTTTCCATCAGCAAAATCAGAAATCTAATATAGATTGTAAAAGCAACATTAATCCAAGGTTCTTATCCACAACTTGGACCAATGCAACTATCATACCAAGGGTTATGAATGATGCAAGCTTTGCTCAAAAAACAAAAGACACAACTAAATTTTAAAAAGCTCAGAGTCTGCATGGCAAACTATTTGGCCATTCGAATATGAAACAGTTTCTCAAATCTAACTGGCAAGAGAAATCATTCAATCACCAGAGAATTTGTATCCTCTGATAGAATTACTGCCCTACCTACAGACCACTGAACATCACACGAACTATGGCAGTCTTTGGAAGAGCAGAAAGCCCCTTGGCTAAAAAGAATACCTGATGGTGATCCAAACCACCTTCTAATCAAATTACAAATTAATATTTTTAATAAAGTAAAACTTCATGTTGATCAAATTTTCAGAAGCAATAAATAGATGTAAATTAAAAAAACCCCTAACATACCAGGAAGAGTTATGAAGTCAGCATTAGTAACGTCAAAATTCTCCCTTACTTACACATTTGCACTTCCCACAGGAAGATAGCAGATCACTCGAAGTACACTGTATTTTAATGACATTTGAAAGATATGAATATTCTGTTTATCAAAGAGGAGGTGAGAACTGAAGACTAACAGACTTTTTTTTTTATGGAACTAAAACTGATGGGTCAACTACAGCACAAGGCTACTCAGAACTACACTTCTGTCTCTTGCTTATATTCTGACTCAGTTTCTTCTCACTGGCTAATAGACTGACACAAGGAAAACCACAATTATTTTCCAGTCGCGAGCTCCTGGATGAGCTCTGCAAATACACCTAACTGTGCTCTGAGAGGCTGCAGCAGTCAGACTCATCCTGCCACTGACACGCTCGAGCAGCCCTGAAACTTGACCCAATTAATGAAACACAACTAATTACTCTTAGTGGAGAAAGTGGAGGAAGGGAAAGCAGCCCTCTCCTGACCGGTGTGCCCAGCCTGCCCTCCCCAGCGGGAGCAGGACTGGGCACACACTGGGCACAGTGCTGTGGGGAGGGTGCCTGCAAGGAGTCCTGAGCACCTGGGCAACTCCATTTCCAGGCAAGCTAGAAATAGAAGGCTAATGTAGAAAGGATTTAAGCGTCTGAACACAGGTATTGGTGAGCAACAACTTCGCACAAGGATAAATAATCTTAAATATTACATGTGGTAAAAGCAATCCTGATGATCAGCATACAGTAGCATGAAATCTGCCTTAGCAGGTTAATTCAGCTGCCTGATGAAGATTTCTGCTAATAAAGACAGAGTAGAACAGTCTGATGGTTTCTTTAGAGTACAGTTACAAAAACCAAAACACGTTTACATAATGGGAGAAAAACATCCTTGAATTTACTTACTACAAAGTCAATTCAATTTTTTTCCAAACTGATAAATTAATTCTTGTAAAACAAATGACTTTTCTTTGATGTATATAACATTTCCTAGATGTGAGAACTGTTTAAAAGCTAACATTTTATTGAATGAAGTTTTGTACTAAACTACTTTTCATATTTCAGTTGGTTATGTTACACAGTATTGATGAAAAACTATATTCAAGTGGGGATATTTTCATATGGATGGAAAAAGACTTCCATATCCTTACTCTGCTTGAAAGTTTTTCCCTGTTCTACAGAAAAGCAAACGCAAGTATTATTGTCATTCCCATTTTTTTCTACAGAGAAAGCAAGATTAGACCCTCTCATCTTTACAAGTTCAAAGATGCCTCATTTTGCTATGTGTACAAAATGAAGAACCATTTCCTTTTGATTTAATCTGTTCCAATAAAAATCAAAATGGCCTAGATGAAATGATAATGTAGGAGTTGAGATGTGCGTTCCTTTTCTCCACCCATAATGACATGCTTTCTGAATATAAATAAGCGCAGATCTATTATCTTCCCTTTTATGCTCTTCATTCTAGCATCTTAATTTCAGATCTTACTGAACTCCCATCAGAAACTGAAAATGGCAAACATAGCCGAGTGAAGACAGCTACAAGGACTGTAAGAATATCTCACATATTTATAAAGAACCAGGAAAAGAAAGGAAATTAATCCACTGTATAGTTAATTACAGATAATCTCAAGTACTAAAATATTCTCAAGTGGAATAGTTTGATACCATATTACAGACTGCATTGCAAACCCAGATCTCTCTCTCACACTCTGAGGTCTGAAGGTTTTTCGAAATAATACAAAAATATCTTCATTATTTGACATTTAAAGAAAGGAATAAAAATCCCTGAGTAAGCCAAAAAGACAACTGATATGTATAGCCTCAGAAAACACACTCAAAAACAAAACCAATTTTAAGGCAGCTTCCAACCTCAGACAGAAAACAAATAGAAAACCGATGTGTCATAGAAGAAGAAACCTAATGAACAGGTGGATTTGCATTGACAATAGGCTTTGAACTTTACCTCTAAATGTCATTGCTTCCCTGCTTAATTTGCAAATGTTAGAAAGGTACTATTTCTACTGTTCGGACAACAGGACCAACATGCTCTTAAATTCAAATGGAAATATTAAGTACTTGTTGACTACTATGGTGTGCTTGTCCACACTGCTTCAACAAGAAAAAAAACCCCAAGAAAACAAAACCAGAAGCTGACAGAAATTAAGCATACTAGCCAGCTATGGTAAGCTGATATTTGTGTTTCCAGGTAAACAAAATTCATCAGTTCCTTCCACTGAGGCTTTGAAGTCAAAGCGAGTATCTTGTAACAGTATTATGTTGGTGGGGTAGGATCCTATTTACTTAAAAATTACAACTAGATACAGATTTAATAACAATTTTCAAAGACAGTGGCGAAAAGTACACCCTCTCAAATGATGTGCTATTTGCGGGCCTAAATTTTGAAGTCTGTAGACTCTTTAGGACTTTGCCCATCTCCCTGCTTCCCCCTCTCCCCCTATACACACACACCTTCAGACACACACACACTCTGAAAGAAAAAAAAGTACCTTCACAGTACAAATCCAATCTTTTCTTTAAGATTGGCTTGTATTTTTAAAGTATAAAGTAGATATTTCTCTTATTCAGTTCCTTTCTTTATTGTTTCAGTGTTCTGCTTACACAAATTTATTTCACTTTTTTTTAAGTTATATTTGTATACTAAATTTGGATTATAACTAAAAGGGAAAAAAATTCTCAGTAGCTGATTCCTAATGCTGAATTACATTGCTGTTGTGGCGATGTGTTGAGAAAGAGGTCTGGTGGCAAACAGTGGTACTCTGAAGTTAGGAAAAAAGAGCAAAGATCACTATTCTCTTCAGACCATCTCAGGAAGATAAACACTGGAAGCAGAGAATAAGAATAAAGTGATCTCGTAAGAATTCATGACCCTTCCCCTTACCCAAAAATTCACAGATTTTCCTCATGAGACATCAGTGGATGCTCTAAGACTTAAGTAGCCTATTTAAACAAACGATCAAACAAAATTTACTTTTTAGGTTATAAAATTTCATCAAGTCAATCTCCATACAACTAGCATGTAGCACGTGTATTATATGCCAAGTCAGAACATATGAGCAGGTTTCCAGCTTCCCTGCAAACACGTTTCCTTGTCTGTTCTGCAACACACTTCAGGGATATCTTGGGAAAGAATAGACCACTGACACTTCTTGTTGTCTAAACTCTTCCAATTTTTTCTGTACTCGGGAGAGTTTCAAAATGCTGTACTCTTCTAACACATCTATCACCCCCTCAATCAATATTAACAGACTGTCATAAATTAAATACTAAAGTGAAACCAATCAGCATATCTAAGTATCACAGAGCTTCACTACTAAGGGTATTTCCCTCTGAGGCACTGCAGTTTGGGGTGGCAAGCTACACTCTTGCCCACTAGCAGGACGACTCAGAAGATAACCAGCTGTCATGCTCTGGCATGTGACGGGGTTTTGGTATGCTGAACAGAATGCTGTGTGATGGAAGTTATTTACAGAAGTAGTTTTTAATACCAAAAGTAGTATGCTCAGTATACAGAAAGAGTCCAAACACTTCTAAGCATTTCCCCCTTAAAGGCCGACACTGAAATTAAACGGAGCATATGTTAGCAGTTAAATGCTTTCTTCACAGGCCAAATCGGTAATAGAGTTCTGGCTACAATACAGACTTTGATTGTCTAGTTCAGAAACTTAGACTCAAAAAACCCCTCCAAAATAATCATTAAAAAAACCAACACAACAAAACCCAAAACATTTAAAAAGCAGCAATCAGGGGGCCCATCTTGTTCAGAGTGCACCAGAGCAAAGAGGCTTTCTGGTCTGCAGTAGTGTTTTCGGCTGAGGGAAGATGGCAGGAGATCCCCCCCTTCTTCTTCCAGGGCGGTGGCTTTAATGCTGTTACCAGCACTGTATTGCTCTGTTGCACAAAGCGCGTATAGCCCTTGCAGGACCAGCTCAGTTCAGGCGAGTAAGGTCCATCCTTACCAGGGCATTCCT